GTTTCAAGCCGCACTGCGTTCGTGTTACAAGCCATGCTCTCTTCACCTCTCGCGGAGGGTATATCGCGAGGATCCCGGCGGGCAGCAGCAGTCGCCGAGACGCTCGCTGGCCTCCTCTGCACTGGTAAAACTACGCGCGCGCGTGCGCGCAAAGAGGCGGTGCGCGCGCGGGGTGCAACGCGGGAGGCAGCCGGCGCGCGGAAGCAGGAGCCAAACTGGGGCAACGCGGAGGAGAAGGGAATGAGGAGGAGAAGGCAACCGTCTTGGGGGCCTCCTTGAACCGTCTTGATGCCATCGTGGGCTGTGTTGGGGCCGTCTTGGGCCGTCCTGGACGCATCGTGGAAGAACTGAACGGCATCGTGGATCTTCTAGGGCCTTAGGGCCGTCCTGGAGGCTGTCTTGAACCGCCCTGGGCCAACTTGAAGGCCATCGTATCCGCATTGGAAGCACATTGGCCGTCTGGGAGGACATCAGGCCGTCTTGGGCCACCTAGATATCGTCGTGGGCCGTATCGGGACTCTGGAGGGAGGGGCCTCTTGTTCTGTCTTGGGGCAATCTTGAAGGCCTCTTGGGTCGCCTTGGGCATTCAGAAATCCAGAACGCAAAAACCCGCCGACCCTGTGTCGGCGTGTGTGAGGGGCTTGTCCGTTCCCGTCGTTCGTTCGTCGTCATCTCCGTTCGGGAGCGGCAAAGAGGGGGGTGTCCAAGAGGGGGGGTGCAAATCATGACCGGCGGCATGTGCGCGGCCCAGCGGGGGGCCCAGGGACGTGATGAAATAAGAGGAGGCGCCATGAAATCTGGGGAAATTTCATGCCCCCCGCCATGATATCCACACATACCCCTAGTCATCACCCCCCTCTTTTCCGCCCCCGATCCGTCGTCTCCTGTCCCTGCGCCCACGCTGTCCCCGGGCCAGTCGTCTCCTGTCTCTGCGCCCCCCCTTTCCCCGGGCCCGTCTCCCATCCTCCCCTTTCCCCCTCTTCCCCTGGGCTCGTCGCCGCTCCCCCCCCGCATGTCCATGGCCTCCCCCTCGAGAGCAACTTCGTCATTGAGTCAGTCGAAGGGAAACCCCTTCCCTTTGATCCTTTCCCTGCCGGGGGGGGTCCTGGGGGGGGGGGGCCCGCGTCAGATACGACTCCCCCCCTGGGGGTCCCAGGGCCCACACAGAGCCTCAAACGGGCAAAGGGCCGAGGCATTCTACCACGCCCTCTCCTCCCTCCCCCCTCCCTCCAGTGCCGTCATCATCTGACCGCTGTCTGTGGCGAATCAGGTCGCAATTCAAATTCCCTCCCTCCATCCTCATCTCTCCTCTTTGCTCCGTCCCCCTCGAGAACCGAACTGGCCTCCTGGACGCTCGGCCACGGGACACCCCAGGACCCAGAATGCCGAGGTCCCCGGGAACCTCCAGGACCCAGCCCCGAGGACCTCCCCCCAGGACCCAGCAGCAGGAACAAGTCCCCCCGAAAAGTCCAGCCCTCCCAGGCCCCAGGCCCTGCTCGCCTCGTCCTGCTCCTTTTCATTCCCCCCTCCCCTCCTCCTCCTCCTCCTCCTCCTCCTCCTCCTCCTCCTCTTCCTCCTCCTCCTCCTCCTCCTCCTTCCTTTTCCTCCTCCTCCTCATCCTCCTCCTCCTGTTCCCCTCCTCCTCCTTCTCCTCCTCCTCCTCCTCCTCCTCCTCTTCTACCTCTCCTGCTCCCTGACGTCCTCCGCCTCCTGTTCCTCAACGTCCTTGTCATGCTCGTCGTCTCCGTCTGCAGCGTCGGCGGCACCGGCCGTAAGGCCTCCGCAAGCAGCTCTGCGATGTTTGCGTCATGACCATTGCCCTGCACGCCGATTGGGCGCAGGAGTGTCGCCGACACGAGCCATACGTCGCCACAGGCAGATCTGCCAATTGGCCGAGGCGTCGCCGGTCGGCTAGAATCATGAGCTGCACCGCCGCAAAATTGCAAGGCGATGCCGCGAGAGATGCAGCAGCAGAAGGCAACAACATAAAAAAAAACGACGGAAACGATAACCGGAAATGGACAGAGGGAAGAGGATAGCCAAGACCATGCCAGCCGACGATGGCTGATTGGCATCCGCGTCGCTCGCTCTCGGCGGCCGACTCAAGATGGGCGCAAGTCAAGCGGGAGCTGGAGTGCCGCCGACACGAGCCATGCAACGTCACAGGCAGACCTGCCAATTGGCGGCGGCGTCGCAAGTCGGCTGCAATCCTGAGCTGCACCGCCAGAAGACACGGGAAGAGAAGGAAGAACAAGAAGCAGCAAGGGGCGTACCCTCAGGGTTTCACCGTATCGGTCCATGCAGGGCACCTGGAATCGGCGCCCTCTCGATGGAGGGCTGGAGGCTGAATGGGGGCCCAGGCGGAAGGAGCAGTACGATGCCCGCGATATGTGGGCCCTGTGCAGGGACTCATGAAAAACTCAACGAACTCTGCCGTCCTTCGACTCGCGCTGGAACGGCCGCGAGTTGCTCCAACTTTTCCTGGAGATCTCTGGATTTACCTGAATTTACCCGGATTTATCTAGATTGACCTGGATTTACATGGATTTGCCTCGATTGATCTGCATCTACCTGGATTTATCGGGCTCGATCCCCACAAGTCGATTGGCGAAAAGTCGTCAAACCCTTAGGGAGGGACGACGGGAACGATAACCGGAAATGGACAGAGGGAAGAAGATAGCCAAGACCATGCCAGCCGACGATGGCTGATTGGCATCCGCGTCGCTCGCTCTCGGCGGCCGACTCAAGATGGGCGCAAGTCAAGCGGGCGCTGGAGTGCCGCCGACACGAGCCATGCAACGTCACAGGCAGACCTGCCAATTGGCGGCGGCGTCGCAAGTCGGCTGCAATCCTGAGCTGCACCGCCAGAAGACACGGGAAGAGAAGGAAGACCAAGAAGCAGCAAGGGGCGTACCCTCAGGGTTTCACCGTATCGGTCCATGCAGGGCACCTGGAATCGGCGCCCTCTCGATGGAGGGCTGGAGGCTGAATGGGGGCCCAGGCGGAAGGAGCAGTACGATGCCCGCGCTCTGTGGGCCCTTTGGAGGGACTCATGAAAAGCTCAACGACCTCTGCCGTCCTTCGACTCGCGCTGGAACGGCCGCGAGTTGCTCCAACTTTTCCTGGAGATCTCTGGATGTACCTGAATTTACCCGGTTTTATCTAGATTGACCTGGATTTACACGGATTTGCCTCGATTGATCTGCATCTACCTGGATTTATCGGGCTCGATCCCCACAAGTCGATTGGCGAAAAGTCGTCAAACCCTTAGGGAGGGACGACGGGAACGATAACCGGAAATGGACAGAGGGAAGAGGATAGCCAAGACCATGCCAGCCGACGATGGCTGATTGGCCTCCGCGTCGCTCGCTCTCGGCGGCCGACTCAAAATGGGCGCAAGTCAAGCGGGCGCCGGAGTGCCGCCGACACGAGCCATGCAACGTCACAGGCAGACCTGCCAATTGGCGGCGGCGGCGCAAGTCGGCTGCAATCCTGAGCTGCACCGCCAGAAGACACGGGAAGAGAAGGAAGACCAAGAAGCAGCAAGGGGCGTACCCTCAGGGTTTCACCGTATCGGTCCATGCAGGGCACCTGGAATCGGCGCCCTCTCGATGAAGGGCTGGAGGCTGAATGGGGGCCCAGGCGGAAGGAGCAGTACGATGACCGCGCTCTGTGGGCCCTTTGGAGGGACTCGTGAAAAGCTCAACGACCTCTGCCGTCCTTCGACTCGCGCTGGAACGGCCGCGAGTTGCTCCAACTTTTCCTGGAGATCTCTGGATGTACCTGAATTTACCCAGATTTATCTAGATTGGCCTGGATTTGCATGGATTTGCCTCGATTTATCTGCACCTACCTGGATTTATCGGGCTCGATCCCCACAAGTCGATTGGCGAGAAGTCGTCAAGCCCTTAGGGAGGGACCCAAGCCTCCACATCACAAGGCAAGGCGTGCCTGGCCGCAGCCAGGCCCTCGCAGGGCGACGGTGCCCGCGGAGCCACGCGAGCCCGACGCAGGCTGAGGCATCCACCACGCTCTGCGCTTGGAGGGGGGCAACCGCCCCCACCCCGACGCCCCCGAGGGGCCGGGGCCGCCACGCGGACGAGGCTCGAGAGAGGGAAGAGGAGCGGAGGGGGAAGGGAAGGCAGAGGGGGAGAGAGGAGGGGAAGAGCGGAGGGGAAGAGGAGGAAGAGAGGAGAGAGGAGAGAGGGGAAGAGGAGGAGGAGAGGAAGAGAGAAGGAAGAGAGGAAGAGAGAGAGGAGGAAGAGAGGAGGAAGAGAGAGAGGAGGGGAAGAGAGGAGAGGAAGCGAGAGAGGAGGGGAAGAGAGGAGAGGAAGAGAGAGAGGAGGAAGAGAGGAAGAGAGGAAGAGAAGGCAGAGAAGGCAGGGGGGGAGAGGGGAGGAGGAGAGGAGAGAGGAGGGGAAGAGAGGAAGGATGGCGTTTTTCAGACCGCCGCAGGAGTCGGATCCACCCGTGAAGCCACGGCCACGCGGGGCTGACCGCCAGGGGCGCCCGGCGCCAGGGGAGCCCACGGGCGCACTGGCCAGTCGGGCTGCTGCAACGAGGCGCGCTGCGTGGGGAACGGATTCCCGCGCGGGCCCCCACGGCGCCTTCTTCGTGCACGGAGAGGGCTCGAGAAACGGCCACGAAGGACCCGAGGCACACTGAGACCCCTCCGAGCCGAAACTGGTCTTCCTGTCGGCGTCTTGGCCAGGTTCAGATAATAGAGTGGCACGCTCCAGCAGCATGAAAAAAGAAGGCATCGTGTTTCTGCAGCTGTTTTCTTCACGAATGCTCGGGAAACAACTCAGCCAAGCGGGCGCTGCCTCGGCGAGGGGATCGAAAATAAAGCCAGAGGCGAGCGCTGAGAACAAAGGCCTCGCAGTGGCAGCATGCGCGACGGCGGACGTGCAGAGAAACTGACCTGCCTCTGAACTGCCAACCAACCAGCGGTCCCCACGCGCTGCGGGAGGCTCGCCATCGCTCGGACGTCCATCCATCTCCCGTGCGTTTCTCGACGTCGTGCGTGTTTCTTTGATGGGCTTGTTCTCCACCACCACCACCACCCCCATAAGTTGGAAGGAGAGGGGGTGTTCCTCCCCCTCCTCTCCTCCTCCTCCTCCTCCTCCTCCTCCTCCTCCTCCTCCTCCTCCTCCTCCTCCTCCTCCTCCATCTCCTCCCCCTCCTCCTCCTCCTCCTCCTCCTCCTCCTCCTCCTCCTCCTCCTCCTCCTCTCCGTCCTCCTCGTCGCGCGCGACCCCGCGTGCGGCCCGCCCGTCGCCGCTGCGGCGGCCCTCTCGTCCTCGGCGGCTTCATCAAGGAGCCGCCGCATGCAAGGACGGCCCGCGGCCCCACCCACCCGCCGCCCCACTTGCTTGCCTCACCGCGAGATCGGGGACTCCTCCTCTGATTAGTCCCCGCCCAATTCGCTTTGTATCTAGCGGACGTCGTCCTTTCATGGTCACCTCTGGTCACTCCTCGTCCTCCTCCTCCTCCTCCTTCCCCCCTCCAACTCATGGTGGTGGTGGTGGAAAACAGGCCCATCATTTCTTTTTGCAAGATGATCCGAGATGCTCCTCGATGGTTTCTCACCGAGAAAAAAGGGACACGTCCGAGCGATGGCAAGGAGAAGTTCTCGTCATCAGAACGTCTGTTCGCCACAGTGTGGAGGCGGCCGCAAGAAACCCTCGCAAGAAACCCAACCCTGAAAACCCGCGCGCGAAGTGCACCCGAGGGAAAACCTGGAGTACCCTGAACGCAGCCGCTCCTCCCCTGGCTGCGGGAAGCCACCGCGCGGCGCGCGGAGCGAAGGAACCCAGGATACCCTGACGAGCAGCAGATGGCTTCTGACCATGTGCTTGATTCCTTCTTGGACCATTTCTGGGATGTGTGTTGACTGTTCCTCATTTTTCTCCTCCAAAATCCCCCTGTAGGGGGACAGGCCCGACTTACCACGAATCGCATAGTTCATGTCTGCCATGCCGTCACTGCGGGAAGCGGAGGAGGAGGAGGAGGAGGAGGAGGAGGAGGAGGAGGAGGAGGAGGAGGAGGAGGAGGAGGATGAGGAGGAGGAGGAGGAGGAGGAGGAGGAGGAGGAGGAGGAGGGAGGAGGAGGAGGGAGGAGGAGGAGGAGGAGGAGGGAGGAGGAGGGAGGAGGAGGAGGAGGAAGTGCGGGCGTCGGCACGAAGCCGTGGCGCGCGGTCTGCTCGGCGGCCTCCCGAGGCATGGGGTGGCCCGACACCCGTCGCGCGGCGAGGCCGCGCGAAAGGGGAGCAAATTCGGCACCTCGCGCGCTGCGCGGGCGGCTCCCGCCTCCGAGTGGCTGCCCGCTCTCTCGCCTCGCTTGCCATCCTTCTCCTGCCGCCTGGTCGCCGCCCGACCAGTGTTCGGACGGCGTTCGACCCGCCTCGCGAGCCTGGTGACCAAGAAAGAGTGGCTCCCACCGGGCGTGGAGGCGCTCCGCCAGCCCCTGCCTCTCAGAGGGGCTCGCGCAGAGAGGACCCGCCAAAAAAAGCCCGAGAGCCCACCGAACGCCACGAGCTGCACAGACCTCGCGGGCGCGCTGGAGCTAGGCAAAACGACGAGCGCGAACCCGAAGCTCGTCTTCGATCGGAAGTGGTTCGGCACGTGCAGGTGGTCGTACTCTCCGCCGAAGCCCACGGAGAGTCGACGAAGGTCACCAGCGCTCCGGTCGTCGAGCCGCCGCGCAAGCCACGAGCACTGATCGCCACCTCGTCGGAGCTGGCCTCTGTGACGGCCCAGACCCGGATGTTCAACTCTATGCTCCCCTTCTCGAACATTGGCCCAGCGAGTAGCGCGCAGAGGGCGCAAGTGTCGAAGAAAGGAGGTCCCCGTCGGAAACGTGGCGCTTGAGCAAAACACGACTATAGAGCCTATGACCTCCTCCTCCTCCTCCTCAGCAGCAGCATTCTTACCAACGACATCATCGAATTCATCATCGTCCTCACGAGCAATGGCATCACCCTGATCGGCATCATCATCCTCTGCAACATCCACATCCGCATCCGTCTGAGCATCACTATTGTAATATTCATCATCACCACCATCATCATCAGCACCGGCATCAGCATCGGCATCGGCATCAGTATCATCATCAGCATCATCACCATCAGCATCAACAGTATCATCGTCATCATCCTCATCCTCATCCTCATCCTCATCCTCCTCCTCCTCCTCCTCATCATCATCATCATCATCATCATCATCATAAACATCATCAGCCTCGTCGTCAGCACTGTCGTCGTCAGTACCATAGTCCCCGGTATCAACATCCACATCATGATCATCCTCGTCGTCGTTCCATCATCATCAGCGTCAGCATCTTGATCGCCATCGTCGTCATTGTCATCATCATATTCAGCATCATCACCTAGATCATCATCAGCATCATAACAAGCACCACTACACTAGTCATCGTCGTCGTCATCGTCATTGTCATCATCATCATCATCGTCAGCAGCAGCAATAACATCGTCATCATCGGAATCAGCATCATCAGCATCATCATCATCATCGTCATCATCGTCATCAGCATCAGCAGCATCAGCATCACCACGGCCATCAGCAATCGCATTATGGAACCATCAAGACAATACACTCCGCGCGAGTTGGCGCATGATGGACCCTAGTCGGTCCAAGAGGGTCTGCCAAACACATTATGAGGAAAACACTGTAAGAAGGCAACAACACGATTACAAAACAAATCCAAATCCTAACATGTTCTGCTTATCGCCAGCTGCCCTGGCACAATGTCCCAATATTGTGTCAAGACTGCCCCCATCCCCAGACTTATCATATTAACCCACGTTGGCAGGCAAATCCGTGCCCTGACGAAAAAGCAGATGCAAAAGATTGGGTTATACGCCAGACTCATGTTCGTTCTTCAACCGTCACTCGCAACCTCCGTTGCCGGCGACGGAGTATCTCCGCTACAATCCGCTACAATCATCATTAACACTATGCTATCCTCGTCCTCCTCCTCCTCGGCGTTGAAGTCCCAGGAATGGTGTCTGGCACGATTTAAGACCGACAGGACGTCTGTCACTTTGATCCGCGGCGCTGAAGTCCCAGGATTGATGTGTTGGCACGATTGAAGAGTATCAGGCGGTTGTCTTCTGATGTGCCACTTCCCGAAGTGAAAAGACAGTCTCGTAGGAACCTATGAGGAGGATACTTGGAGAAAGCGCTCATCGCAACCAACGTTGATGCGTCTTCGGTTTACACTGGTCCCCCTCCTCCTGCTACTTCCCTCCCTCATCTGGGCAGCCACGTGTGAACCACGCCCAGAACGATCAACATCCTGGAAGAGGTCCGAGACACCAGTGAGGCCCCAGACGCCTCCGAGCGGGCACGGAGGACGCGAACCCCTATAGATGTACCCCGCCTGGCCCGGATGGCTTCCCTCGTCTCTCTCATCATCCGCGACCGCGTAGCCGACCCCGCGTGGCGCTCAGCGGGGTGCTGGCCTCGACTCCCGGGTCCCTACCACCCGGTTGTCCCACCGTCCCCACTGTCCTACTGTCCCCGCCGCTGTCCCACTGAGCTG